CCCAGCTGCCGAGCCGAGAGGGCGGAGCCGGGAGGCCGGAACACGTGCGCGGCCGGTCACGTGGCCGGCCGGAAGCGCGCCGGGGCCAGGCGTGCAGGGGCCGGGCCGGTGCGGCGTCTAGGAGGGGAGCGCTGCGTCAGCTCCGCGGCCGCCTTGATGGGGGCCCGCGCCGCCCGCCCTCATTCCGTACCCGTTCCAGAGGCACCTGCTTTGTGCCACGCCGGCAAGGGCCTAGCGCGCTGCCGACTCCTGCCCAGCCACGGGGCTGCGAGTGGGCCGCGACCTCTGGCAGCCGCTTCCTGGCGACGGCCGGAACCTGGAGGCGGGACTGAGCTCACATCCTCCCGGGGGCGGGGCCTGGCTGGCCTGGGTGGGTGGGGCTGCGGGCGTGTCTCTCCGCGCAGGCCCCGCCCTCCCCGGCTCCGCGGGCACCTGTCTGACAATGGGGAGCTCGGGTCTGCATGAGCAGAGGCGAGTGGCCGGCGCGTGTGGGAATCTGTGAGCCGGAGGGTGAGGGCCCTAACCGTGTGACTGCCCAGGACGCATGTACACGTGTGCCAGACCTGTGTGGGCGCGCGTGAGTGGCGGCGGGCTCGGCCGCGCGGTTGCGAGAGGCAGGGTGTGCGGGCAGAGAGAGTGCCAGCGCGGCTCCAGGGGCACAACTCCGCCTGGCGGGGGCAGCACGGTTCTCAGGCTGCCTGCAAATGGCTGTTCCCAGAGCCTAGGCTGCTGCGGTGACCGGCCTCTTTCTTCCAGAAGTGGAGGGCAGGTGCTGGGAGAGTAATAGGCCCCCGCATTGCCCAGAGCGACGTCTTGATAAAGCAGGTGAGAAAACTGGACCTGGATAGGGGTTCTTCCTGCTCCAGGTCGCTCCAGGAGGTTAGCCCAAGAGTTGGGACTTAGCTTCAGGGCTCCTAACCCCAAGTCCCTTATCCCCATTTTGACATATTTGACCGGTCTGGATCTGATTCTCGCAGACCAGTGTTAGGAAAAGTGCTGAACCAGAGGTCAGTAACATTAGGTTCTAGTCCAGGCCTTGCCAACGTGCAGCTGAGAAAAGGAAGCAAATACACCCATTTCTTTTTAGGCTGTTTCTGGTCTGTTAATCTGGGGGTTCTGATCACCAAGGACCAGCAGAGCTGTAGCAAGTCTGTGATTTGAAGCACGCTTTCATCTCTCACCAGTTGGGCAGACCCCAGAGGATTCCTCTCTCTCATCTCCACTGTCCCCTGTTCAGCAGAGTCAGGTTGCTTGTCCTTCCTGGCTTTTAGGTTCCCTAAAGTGGGTATGACAGAAAGTCCCGGGCTCTGAGGTAGGGTGGAGAGGTTAGCAAGATTGCCGGTGTCTCTGTGGGGTAACAAGGAAGGACTTCTGGAGAGGAGGTGCGCTTCTGCAACCCACAAGCCCTGTTCGCAGCCCACCCAGAGGAAAGTGGAGGTCTCTGTCAGGACCCAGGAGCCTACTTTCCGCGGACTTGGTGGACATCAGCAGGGTACTCACAGAGCGCGACATGAGGAGGCCAGGCCCAGCGCTCGAAGTTCTCCCAATCTCACCAGCTCCCCGCTCAGCCACAGGCAATGGGGAGGCCCTGAGGGAGCCGCTTCCAGCTGAGTGAGTGCCACCAGTGTTCAGGTTCAACCCGGAATGTAGGTCTGAGATGGGTCTTCAGGGCCCCCAGTTTCTGTGAGTCACTGTGGGAAGATTATCCGGGTGGAGCTCTAGCCTTTCTTCCTCCACCACCACCCTCTTCCCCAGCCAGAGTTGCTCTGATCTGTCCTGCATACTGGCCTTTTAGGTATGATTCCTTTCAAGAAGGATATGTCAGCTAAAACAATTGTTTTTTTGAAAACTGAACATCCCTAAACCTGTTGTTACCTCTTCAGCTGTGAAATGGGCTTATAGAAACCTGTGGACTTGTTTTGAGGCTTAGGAGAATGAATACATGGAACTTTACATCTGGAGATACACAAGCAGTTAATATGACCCCCACGGGAGAGTACAGCAGCCCACAGGGAGGTGGCAGCTGAGCCAGGTCCTCTGGACTGTGCTAGAACAGTTAAAAGTCCGCTCCAGTCTTCAGGAGGAGGTAACCTCAGGGCTTCTGTGCCAGCTTCCTGGCAAAGATGGGAGTTCGGAAGCTGCTTTCTGTCTGTTGAGTCTTCCCTTCAGGACAAATGCATGGCTCCTTCTTCCAGGAAGGGGGCCTTGGGGTGTCCTGTCATGGTGCAGTGTGTCCCTGCTGCTCTGCTCCCAAGAAGGGTCAGAGGCAGCTTCTGGTGTGTGTGCAGCTCCTCCACTGTCCCCAGCTGGCACTCCTGGACCCGCAAGCCTGGGCCCTCTACCTTGTACGTTGGACTCACCTCCTCTGCTATTTTAGCTTTATTTAGCTTTAGAGAAAAGCTCAGGGACTTGCTCTTGTCTTTATTTACCTTTAAAGCTAAATAAATGTAATGTTTGCTGTGTGCCAGGTGCTGGATGGCACACCACTCCTGAGGCAGGCACACAAACCAAAGTGTAAATTCATCTATTTTCAGAGGGGTGTGGGGTGTGGCGCTGCAGCACTGCAGCTTCCCATGCAGCCGTGCCTTTCTCAGGTTGGGGTTCATGGAGTTTGTGGAGTGTGGGCCCAGGGGATGGCTGACATTGTTCAAGGGTCACTGTCCTGAAGGATAGGGACATCCTAGGAGCATCTCTCCCCCGGCATCTCTCTCCTGCAGGGTTGGCATCTTCAGTCCCACCTCCCCTGTCAGACCTCTGAGCCCTCCAGAGCTCACCCAGGCCCACTGCTGGCCAGGGCCCCTGAGGCCTGGGTGCCAGCTGGGCCAGTCTGCAGTTGGCTGCCCTTCCCCCAAGTGGTCTGCACATGATCCTCCTGTCCCTGGGCCTAGTGTTCTTTTTGGGAAGGGTCCACCTTGCATAGCCATCCCTTTCTTCCTGTCACAGGACTCCTGACTGGATTGGGTCTGTTTGACTGCATGTCCCCCCGAAATTCGAGCCCTAGACACCCTGCTGGTGCTTATGTTGTGGCCAGTGTTCTTTCTAGGAATATTGGCTGAATGGGTGGGTGAATGAATTCACTCCTCCGCATGACTGTCCTCATGTTGCCACGTCCCAGGGTCTGAACTGTCCACTCCTTGGACAGGGAACCTTTGTTGGATAGCTTACACACGAGTCATTTCCCATGAGCACTCTAACAAATTGCCACACACTTAGTTTAAAATGGCATCCACTGATTATCATCTCCCAGTTTCCAAGAGTTCCAAGTCCAGCCCAGCCGTCCTCTGACCGTCTCAGGAGGCGGAAATCGAGTTGTTGGAGCCCTGATGGTGACTCTGCTTCTGAGTTCTATGTTGGTTGGCTTCAGCCCCATGGGGTTGGAGGACTGAGATCCCTGTTTGCTGGCTGCTGGCTGGGTCCCTGCTCACCGCCATTTCCTGGCTTGTCGAGTCCCACACAGGGAATTTCTGTGGACTCTGCTACGCCTCTCTTCTGCCCTCCCCTTTTTAAGGGCTCATGATATTGCATTGGGCCCACCCAGCTAATCCAGGATCATCTCCCCATTTTAAGGGCAGCCTTGTAGTGACCTCCATTCCATCTTCAAAGTCCGTGGGACCCTGCTCAGCCCCAGCTGCAGGCCCAGCTCCCTGTCCCCACCCCAGCAGGGCCACTGCTGTCCTCCTCAGCTGCTTCTCTCCTGAACTGCTCTGGGAGAGCCTGGGGTTGCAGGGAGAGAATGAGCCCTGACCTAGTGCCACTACACTGTCACAGTGAAAGATCCCCAGCTCACATTTGGTGACCCCTGGGTATCCTCATAGCCTGGAGCCTGGTCTCCAGTCAGGATCCTCATATCCCCGTTGCTCAGGACACAGGATGCCCTCGCTGAATGTGCTCCAGGCACAGGTTTGGGGCCGGGAAGGGCCAGCCCAGGAGGACCAGGGAAGCTTCCCTTCTAACTACGTGTGCGTTTATCACATCACCTGTTTCTGGAAGCCAGAGTCCATCTGGCCCCTTCTGTCAGCCTAAGGGCCCACCAGTACCCCTCAGCCCGCGTCCCTGAGTGCACCACGCTCTGGCCTCCACCTGCAGTAGCCACGTCCTTGCCTCCCCCATGCCAGCACCCACCTTCCCCCCTGCTGTGGAGGCCCCAGGCTGCTGTGGGAATCCCAGCTCTGTGACCTTGGCGAGTAACCGTCTGTGGTCCCCATCTGTGAGATGGAGATAACCTCCTGTAAGCAAGGGCAAAACAAAACAATGTATGAAAGCCCTGACTGGCAGGGTTCCCGGCCCACGGGGGCGTTTGTTACCAGAGGGAGATCTCGTCTCAGGCACATTTAGGTGGCCCAGTCTCTCAAAGACCTGAGCCCGTGGTCTTGGGACGCCAGAGGGTGCTGCCATTCTGTGTGCTCGTCTGGCTCCCTGGGCTCCTGTGACTCTCCAAGGGCAGCGACTCACCTCATCTCTGTATCTGCAGCATCTAGCACAAGCCAGATGTGCCAGGTGTATCCAGGAACAAGCATGTGGGCAGGAGGGTTCGAGCTCATGTGGCGTCTGTCCTGTCCCTGGGCGGAGCAGCAGAGCACAGCTCACTGACAGGTGTCCCGCTTGCAGGGAGGCCTAGCCAGCCTTGCACAAGAACCTCCTGGAGCACTGCCCCTCCTGTTTGCACTGGGTCAGTGTTTCAAACACTCCCAGGTCACCGGGAGCTAACATTGATGGGCTGTGGTGACAAAACCGAGAAAACATTGACCGCGGTGCCCTGCTCACCCTGCTGCTACCGGCTGTCTACGGAGCCCTCTGTTGGTCCAGCCGGCACCCAGCCCTGTCCCGTGGGAATGCTGACCCGGAGGAGCCGTGCTCTGGTGGGGACCGTTGGACTTAGACTCGTTTGTGAGCA